AATAACACGCAAAAGATAGACATTAAAGTGAAGGTCTATCTTTCTGCCAAAATCTTTGTCATATATTGACGAGATCAGAAGAAGCGCAGAGAATGATCGAGTCATCTACGAAAGTTATGAAAAGAACAAGATTCATCTTTTCCAGGGGGAGATTGTGTTACTGTACTCTTTTTCCCTTGTCATGGTTTTTATCCCAATGGGTTTTTCCATGATAAGGTTTTTAACGAGACAGTACGCAAGATATTAATGGTGATGGATACTCAAGGGGGAGTGTTAAAAATATCAAGTGATTATCCATCACATGATAATCTTATTTGATCTCATCTCTCAGATGACTTGGTCTCCAAGCTAAATTTGTTAACTTTGTGAGCAAGCTAAATTTACTACTATATATAGGCTTAGTCGACGTTGTAAAATGGAAGTAAGAGAGAAGATGTAATATCTTTGTTCTCGTTCTCTCTACATGCATTCCTCTCTTCTTTTTCTAATACACATAATATTATATTATATATGTGTTTGGGTTATAGTTTTATAACAATTTCATAATTGTTTTGGACTAATTCCCAGTCTGTATATTTGATAGAATATGTATGTATTTGCATTCGATAAATATGTAAAATATGACACACTTTCATATAATAAATAAAGAACCACATACATCGCAGATATGACAAACACATGCATATAATAGATAAAGAGCCACATACATCGCAGATATGACAAACACATGGGGAAAAGGGGATTTTCATACCCGTACTATCTGCACCGTGGATTTTCATACCTGGACAATTTCGTAGGGTATTTTACAACCTAAACTTCAATAAAATTTGAATCTCATACCTAAACTTGATACAACGTGCAAAAATCGGAGTCAATCTAACGGGTGTTAGTCAACTCCGTTACGGTGCTGAGTCATCGTACACGTGTACGCTGACGTGTATCAAAACGACGTCGTTTTCATACCCGTACTGTCTGCGCCGTGGATTTTCATACCTGGACAATTTTGTAGGGTATTTTACAACCTAAACTTCAATAAAATTTGAATCTCATACCCTATACTTGATACAACGTGCAAAAATCGGAGTCAATCTAACGGGTGTTAGTCAACTCCGTTACGGTGCGTATCGAAACGACGTCGTTTTGATATGTGTTCTCAAAGTTTTAATGTTTTTTGCAAAACTGGGGACTCGAATCCGCGAGCCGTACTCACATGGGAAGCACCGAATACCAACTGATCCCACAACATTCATCGAGTATTCCTCAATCTTTTTAACTTATAAACCCAAAAAGTTGTGCGAAGCCGTAGTCACATGGTAAAACTTTGTTCATGCCTAATTTCTGAGAAGAAGAAGAAGAAATGAGAAAACGATTCTCAATTCGAAACCCTAGCATTCATAATTTCCTCCCAATTTAAAACGATTGACTACGGCTCGCGGGTTCAATGAACGTTGTGGGATCAGTTGGTATTCGGTGCTTCTCATGTGACTACGGCTCGCGGGTTCGAGTCCCCAATTTTGCAAAAAAAATTAAAACTTTGAGAACACATATCAAAACGACGTCGTTTTGATACGCACTATTAGAATGTCCCACATTGCTTGGGATTAAGATCTTTGGGTAATATATATAGAATGTGGCAACTCTTAACTCTTGAGCTAGCTTTTGGGTTAAGTTAGGCCACATTCCTAATATGGTATCAGAGCCCAAGGTTGGTCCAACAAGCAAATTCCCACAAAAATGGTTTCCCACCTATGTGGCCCATATAAGTGGCATGTCTTGTTGTATTTCCGAGATGTTGGGCTTGGGCTATTTCCCGTTGGACCGTTTCCCACCCACATCTCGAGGAGGCCTATGAGAATGTCCCACATTGCTTGGGATTAAGATCTTTGGGTAATATATATAGAATGTGGCAACCCTTAACTCTTGAGCTAGCTTTTAGGTTAAGTTAGGCCACATTCCTAATACGCACCGTAACGGAGTTGACTAACACCCGTTAGATTGACTATGATTTTTGCACGTTGTATCAAGTATAGGGTATGAGATTCAAATTTTATTGAAGTTTAGGTTGTAAAATACCCTACAAAATTGTTCAGGTATGAAAATCCACGGCGCAGACAGTACGGGTATGAAAACGACGTCGTTTTGATACACGTCAGCGTACACGTGTACGATGACTCAGCACCGTAACGGAGTTGACTAACACCCGTTAGATTGACTCCGATTTTTGCACGTTGTATCAAGTATAGGTATGAAATTCAAATTTTATTGAAGTTTAGGTTGTAAAATACCCTACGAAATTGTCCAGGTATGAAAATCCACGGTGCAGATAGTACGGGTATGAAAATCCCCTTTTCCCCAAACACATGCATATAATAGATAAAGAGCCACATACATCGTAGATATGACAAACACATTCATATAATAGATAAAGAGCCACATACATCGCAAATATGACAAACACATGCATATAATAGATAAAGAGCTACATACATCGCAAACTTAACCACAACGTAAGAAAACAAATTAACGTGCATACATTTATTGACGCATTCGTAGCTATAGTGAGATCAGTGACTCGGTGGGTTCGGGTTCCTTGGGAGAGACTTTCGGGGAGGAGGAGACTTACAGAAAGAGAAAGGGCACCCCCTTGGTCGTGGAAAACGCGGTATCGTAATGGGCTTTTCGACCGTCACTTGGTCAGCATGGTTTGTCTCTCCTGCACCGGTACCAATCAAACGGTTTACACATACATATTACTTAAAACAGTTTGGTCATTTTAGTGATATACAGTAGTTTCTCTGTTCAATCCGGTTAAACATGGTACAACTAAAATTGTTTTATTTTGGCTACATCTATAAAACTGAATTTCAATGTGGACCTAACAGAAAAGAGAAACAAATACCAAAATTTATTTATTTCTTGAAAACATAAAGATAATTTGATTAAATATAAAGGAAAAGCATAGGAAAAACCTAACTGATAAAGTAAAATGGTAATAACTTACGAATACTTAAAGCCAAAATAAAAAATACTCACCAAGTTCACGGAGTTCCATTCGTGCGCCAAGGACATTATCTATATGTGGAAATACAAGAAGAAGAAGGAGAAAGAGAAACATGGAAGAGACTATAGAAGATGCCATCTTAATTGATATTCCTTCTTAATTTGCTTATCAGTGTGACTCAAGTTTATGCATTTATATAGAATAGAGAGGTGAAGATATATGGTAGAGAATAAGAATAAAGTATTGGAGAGATAAGATAAGAAAGGCTGAACCTATCGACGACTTAGTAGTCTCTTAAGGGTCTTTAAGCTTTGGATCTTTTGGTAGTCTTCGGCGAAATGTCTTTCCCCCATGCATTATTAATTCTAATATTTATTATTTTTGTGTGTGTATATATTTCTGTGGATACCGGTTTCATTGCATTATTTAGGTGGGGCAGCTTTTTGTGTGGGTTACTGTCTGAAACAATTTCTCATCAAGTTTCTGATCTACTTCAACTTTTACCGGTTTTACCGTAATGATCTTGGGTGTTTTGGAAATGATATCTCTTAAATTGTACTTAGAACCTTTTCAGAAGACTCTTGGCTTATGAGCTTTGAGACACGAATATCCCATCCTCAAGTGAGTCCAAGAAAAAATTCAGTTCAACCCTTTATACTCATTTCAAATTCATTGATCTTTTTTTCTTTTTTTTTAAATTCATTGATCTTCTCATCTACAAACACGTCTTCATGGAGGAATCCATTCAAGAATAACCTTTTAATTCACATCCATTAGAAACAACTTAGTTTTTAGGATGCATGGTCATGTCTTGTATTAATTAAACAATAGTATAGAGGAAAAGTTCATACATAAGGACCGAAACCCAATCCTAAGAATTGATTAACAGAAATTATATAGCAAGGGAAATCTTCTACTAGCCCAGTCGAAGCATGGGACACCAAAAACTTTGGAATGTGTCACGATGACATGGAGATGATCACATGAACGACGCGGCAATAACATGATGTTTTCTTCTCTTAGCACAAGGTTTTTACTCATGATGTATCGTAGTCGTAGATGATATACTGTTTTTATTTTTGGTGGATGATTCTCTTCGATGATATATGATTTATTAGGACAGTAGATGGTTAAATTTTTACAAGTAAACTAATAAATTTAAAATTTACTATAAACTTATATTTCATATCTTAATTTGTTTTAAAGAGTAAATTTGTTCTCTCATCACTTCATTAACATTAAAAGTACACATTTCTCAAATTATAATTTTAAAACTACAGCTAAATTTTTAAATATTAATTTGTTTTATAGAGTAAATGTTTCCTTTATTCTCTACATTAACATTAAAGTTGTTATTGGTTTATTGATTTGTAAATCCATATAGGATTTGAAAATCTCTATTAATTATGAAATTAAAATATATGGATTTTGAAATAACATGTGTTTACCCATGGATTTGAATCCTTCTATTTTTCTCTTTCAATTCCATTCAATTCCATTTAAAACATAATTTGGATTCTCAAATCCAAAAACAAATGACTAAACGAATAACATAAGATTTTAACTAGTATTTATAAATCATAGAACCAATAACACATAATTTTAATTGAGATTTTAAAATCAATGATTGAATAACAAATGATTTTTGTTTGGATTTCTAATTCCTTATAAATCCATGAACCAATAACCCCTCCGTATTTTACTAGAATTCCATTTGTTTTAATTCCCTCGTCCAACCTCCCATGCATGGCATCATAGCATTTAACTCGTTTAATCTCTACTTCCATTTTTTTTATTGTTTTGGACTACTTCCCTGTCTAGATATTTGATAGAATATGTATGTATTTGCATTCGAGAAATCTGTTGAATATGATAGAAACACATGCATGCATATAATAAATAAAGAGCCACACGTCAATCGCAAATATGACAAACACATGCATATAATAAATAAAGAGCTACATACATCGCAAACTACAGCACAACGTAAGAAAAGAAATTAACGTGCATACATTTATTGACGCATTCGTAGCTATAGTGAGATCAGTGACTAGGTGTGTTCCTTGGGAAAGCCTTTGGGGGAGGAGGAGGCTTACAGAAAGGGCACCTTCTTCCACGCGGAACAGTGGGCCGCCGAGGCAGTTTATACGGAGGCGGTTTAAACGTAGGCGGAAGACGAATGTGCCGAGGCCGCGGTAAAGGAAAAGGAGACGACCGCTTTTGGACCGTCACTGGATCAGCATGGTTTATCTCCTCTGCACAAGTACCAATCAAACGGTTTACACATACATATTACTTAAAACAGTTTGGTCTTTTTAGTAACCTTTTTATATAACTCAACACCCCTAACTGATAAAGTAAAGTAATAACTTACGAATATTTAAAGCCAAAATAAAAATACTCACCAAGTTCACGGAGTTCCATTCGTGCGCCAAGGACATTATCTATATGTGGAAATACAAAAAGAAGAAGGAGAAAGAGAAACATGGAAGAGACTATAGAAGATGCCATCTTAATTAATATTCCTTCTTAATTTACTTATCAGTGTGTCTCAAGGTTATGCATTTATATAGAATAGAGAGGTGAAGATATATGGTAGAGAATAAGAATAAATTATTGGAGAGATAAGAGAAGATAAACGCTGAAGCTATCGACGACTTAAGGGTCTTTAAGTTTTGGATCATTTCGTAGTCTTCGGCGAAATATAATGTCTTTGCCCCCATGCATTATTCTAATATTTATTATTTTTGTGTGTATTTATTTCTGTGGATACGGTTGTTACCGGTTTCATTGCATTAGTTAGGTGGGGCAGGTTTTTTTGTGTGTTAGTGTCTGAAACAATTTCTCATCAAGTTTCTGAGATCTACTTCATCTTTTAACGGTTTTACTGTAATGATCAGTGGCGGAGGTAAGAAGGGGTGAGTGGGGTCACATGACCCCTATAAATTTTATATATTAGTTATTGTTAGTGTAAATTTGATTGAATTTGAAGAAATATTTGGTTAAAATTAGTGTTTGACCCCTATAAATTTTTGTTCTAACTTCTAAATAACCTCTATAAAATTTGTTTTTAGATCCGCCACTACTAATGATCATGGGTGTTTTGGAAATGATATATCTTGGAATGTACTTAAAACCTTCTCACAAGACTATTGGCGTATGAGCTTTGAGACACGATCGTCAAGTGAGTCCAAGAAAACAAATTCAGTTCAACCACTATACTCATTTCAAATTCATTGATCTTAACATCTACAAACACGTCTTCATGGATTACATTTATTAGAAAGAGATCAATATTAATACGTATAATTTTGTTCTAACAACTTAGTACTATATTGATTACATTAATTAGGAAAACATGCGAGATATAAATTAACTTTTCCAACAAGTTTTACATCAAGAGGCATCTGTCAATAATTATTAGAAAAATCAGATGACATTGAATATATCATCATTTTAAAATAAATTAAAATACTAAGTAATGATATCTTAAATAAATTGATGGATTTCTCAAGTCGCTTTTTCCTATATATAGATATAAGATCCAAATAACATCTTCTTCTTCAATTACTTAACTACTCTCTATACAATTTAGATCCAGTTTCTCACAATAAGCATGTGGAAGACTTTGTTTTGTCAAAAACCTCAGAAATCCGAAAAGTGGGTTGATATAATCCCTAATCACAAGCCTCATCGTAAAAACGGTACAATATTTGTTCTCTTTCTTTTCTTTTAATTATTTTGATTTTGTTGGACGTGTGGATTATAAGATTTTGTTGTGATTATATGATATATCTATGTAAGACATATACATATGGGCTAATATTGACCTTGTTTGTGTTGAATTTATTTGCAGACAGATTTCGAGTCGTATCTTACAACATCCTTGCTCGTGTAATTTATTTTATTCCCTCATTTTCGTATTATCAAAATCTCTTATACATATATAATTGCTATTATGGTTTTGAATATCGATAGACATGCTCTGAATCGCAAGGGTCTTGTGCTTTTGTAGTGGAAGGCGTCGTCTCCCATGTATAGTTACTCTCCTCCAGATTGTATCCTGTAGGTTCCTCCGCATACTAAAATTTTTAAAAAATTTCATGGTTTATCAAAAGAAAAAAAAATCAAGCCTATATGCTTTTAATCTTTTTGTCATAGGTGGGATAACCGTTCGAAGGCGATTCTTGATAATATAAAGAGTTTTGAAGCTGATTTCATCTGTCTACAGGTTTCTTTTTCTATGTTTCTGTCTCTCGTATCACACATAACTGGGGACTTGTAAGCCTAAATTCATGATAATATTAATTACTCGATCAATCAATCCATTTGCAGGAAGTAGACGAATACATTAGTTTTTTCGATAGAAACATGGAGGCTCATGGATACACTGGAATTTATTTTCCAAGAGGAGAAGGCTATATTAGAGACGGCTGTGCAATCTTTTTCAAGCCCAAATTGTATAAATAGAGACTTTAACACTTTGAATGTGATCTTAGGGTTTAAGTCTAATGTATGCCTCACAAAGTCCATTGTTCTTTTTTTTCTTTAAACAGTGCAGAGTTGATCACATACAATATTGTAGACTACAACAATCTTGCTGAAAGACGTTGCGTGGCGAGTACCATACATGGCGATGCAGTTAGTAAACTAAAATGTGATTGCATCGGAATATTAGCAGCTTTCAAGATTTTAAAACCGTTTAATCATGTCGTTATTATTGCAACCACTCATTTAAAATCCGGGTAAAATAATTAATATTCATTAGCTAGATCTTTCTGAGTTCATATTTAACCTTTTGATTTATTAACATATTTTTCTTAAATTTTTACACTCAGGAAACCTGATGAATGGGATGATGTAAAGCTAGCTCAAGCCAAGTCTCTAATGTTTGAATTAGCCATGTTCAAGAGGACGATCTCGGCCGTAGAAAATTGCAGTCCATCGGTGATCCTTGCTGGTGATTTCAATTCGAACCCCTCGAGTGATGTATATAACTTCAAAAATATGATTTTGTTGTTGTTTCTTCTTGTCCAAGAAACATGATTTTATTCTTCTTCACACTCTCTTCAGGTATATGAATACGTAAATTCAGACAATATACCGGTGATGTGGCCTTTGGGAGGCGAAGAAGAAGAAAATGAATTTGGACTATGTAGTGCGTATGGATTCACGAAAGGAGAGCCAAAGTTCACAAAATATGTGCCAGGATTTGCTGAAACACTCGATTACGTGTTCTTCACGCCTTCTGATTTTATTTCACCTGTGAAGCTCTTGGATTCACCCGACGTAGTCGATTTTTTACCTAATAAAAGTCACCCGAGTGATCATTTACCCATTGGCGTTGAGTTTGAGATCAACCGAAACATATTGCTTTAATTATAATATCCTGATAATTGGGAAAAACATATTAGATTTCTAATTTTTAGGAAAACAAATTGTTTAAATCGTTTTCAATGCTTCATACTATTTGTTCCTCTCGACTTAACAATGATTGTGGTTTAAAAAAGGCTAAGATTAAATAAAAGAGCAATTGGAGTATATGAAATATGATCGTTAGTTGTATAATTTACTGAACATGGTTTTTTTTTCTTTGATAGGAAGTTTTAATTGACTAATTTTTCGGACCCCGCCACTAACTCATGGTTTGGTTGTTACTTGTTTCTTTGATATTTTCTAGAGGGTGGGTAAGGCAACAAGAAAGGCTCATTTTAAACGATACAAATAGAAAGTTTTGTAGGCCATAGAAAGTAAATTGCCTTGTCCCACCCTTATTTATAAGGCAACAAGAAAGGCTCATTGAGTCATCATCACTCAACGGTACATTCCAGCCATTTAGTTTATTAGAATTTAGTTCTATACTTCTATATAACTTTTCCAAAACAATAATAATATAAAATAAATAATAAAATAAAATTAAAAAAGAAGATATATAGAAAGACAGAAAGTCACTCCGGACCACTCCCATGGCGTCGCTAGATTCTCATGTGTTGATGAAGCTAGTTAGCCTCTTTTTATCTACTCTTTTTGTCACTATCGTAAACTCGGAATCACAGTGCCGGAACTTCGAGTCGATCATCAGTTTCGGTGATTCGATTGCCGACACAGGAAACTTGCTCCGTCTCTCAGATCGTTACGATCTTCCTATGAGCGCATTTCCACCGTACGGAGAAACTTTCTTCCATCACCCAACCGGTCGTTTCTCCGACGGCCGCCTCATTATTGACTTCATCGGTAATTCTCTTTCTTTATATATATGTAAATTGACTCTTTTGGCGCAGCTTTATTAGATTAAGTTTATAAAAGAGTACATTCTAATATTTTTTGGGTTCTGTTCACTAGTTCTTAGGGTTTTATTATGAAAAATCTTTCTCTGTTTTTCCTTTTCCTTGAACTGCAAGTTAATAGTGTAAAAACCTCAAGTGATGCTCCAATTTCTTTTTATAGCTGAACATTTGGGGCTTCCTTATGTACCTCCTTACTTCGGATCTATAGATGGAAACTTTGAGAAAGGAGTGAATTTTGCGGTAGCCTCAGCAACGGCATTGGAAAGTTCTTTTCTAGAAGAGAGAGGATACCATTGTCCTCACAATATTAGTTTAGGAATTCAGCTTAAGATCTTCAAGGAGAGTTTACCAAATCTATGTGGTTTACCATCAGGTAGTGAATATCAACTTTAGTGGAGTGATTATAATGTATTTGTTTTCAAGTGGTTTGTGCTCACTTGTATTTGTTTTTAGATTGTAGAGAAATGATTAGAAATGCTTTGATTCTCATGGGAGAGATTGGAGCGAATGATTATAATTTCCCACTCTTTGAACTCAGACCCTTAGACGAGGTCAAAGAGCTTGTTCCGTTGGTGATTAGTAATATTTCTTCAGCGATTACGGTAACCATTTTAATAAGATTCTTGATCTGCTAGTCACAGTAACGAGTAAAACAGAGTGATTAGTTTGTCAGAAACTATAATGTGTTTGTTGCTTTGGGACTGTGTTGAATCCAGGATTTGATTGGTATGGGGGGAAGAACATTTCTGGTGCCCGGCGGGTTCCCTCTCGGATGCTCAGTAGCATTTTTGACATTATACCAAACATCAAACATGGAAGAATATGATCCTTTAACAGGATGTTTGAAATGGCTGAACAAGTTTGGAGAATATCACAGCGAGCAGCTTAAGGAAGAGCTCAAGAGACTCAGGCAGCTCAACCCTCATGTCAACATCATATATGCTGACTACTACAATGCTTCGTTGCGCCTTGGCCAAGAAACAACCAAATACGGTTGGCCTTCTTGATTCCTTTACTGAATCTTCACAACCAAATTAATGATTCGGTATTAATTGAGTTTCTAAATCAATGATATTGTCAGGATTCATAAATAGACACTTGTCAGCTTGTTGCGGTGTAGGAGGACCGTACAACTTCAACTTCAGTAGAAGTTGTGGGAGTGTAGGAGTGGAATCTTGTAATGATCCTTCAAAGTATGTGGCCTGGGATGGCCTTCATATGACTCAGGCTGCACACAAATCGATGGCTGATGGATTACTCAACGGACCATATGCGATTCCTCCTTTCAATTGGTCATGCCTCAGCTCAAAGATTAAGAAGAAGGAAGTCATTAGAAATACAATATTCTTTGATGAATAGTTGACACAAGCTTGTCTTCAAATCTAAGAGACAAGCGAAATAATGAGAAAATCTTATATATTCTTTGATGAATTTTGTATTGTGTTGTGTTATACTTTGTGCTGTTGTCTGAGAGAATTTTTCAGGTGTTACTAGCTAAATCATGTGATAATTTTGGAGAGGTGTAGGATTAGAGAGATCGAAGCTATCCTACAAAAGATTTCTTTGGTCACTGATCTAGAAGAAATGGTCAACCTGCAATCAACCACTTCCAAGCAACTAATGATATTTTATAAGAAAAAAGTATCAATTAATTACATACCTAAGTTTCTAACAAATCGTTTACTTGATATTAATGTTTTAAATTTATTACCATTGTATGTTTTTCTTATTGATAACTTTTGTTTTTCTTTTGATTTTACATTTTGTTTCTTAGAAATGTGTTTTGTTTTGATTATATGTCGTTAAACTATCATTTGCTTAGGAAAATTAATTTGTTTTGGTCTCTAAAGTTAGCTAAAATATCAAAATCAAAATGGCTAATATGAAAGAGAAGTTATCACACTCATACTAAAGAGAAGTGAAGCAGCAGTTTAAACAGAGGAACATAGTGTTTTTTCCAAGAAAATAAGACAAAGCAGTGAATACAAAAAGAAAAAAAACAAACAAACACCAAAGGAAGGGGGTACTTAGTAATGGCTTCATGAACCTTTGAAATTGGAAAACGTGCGTCTGTTTGATTCTAAGATTTGAACCTGGCGTTCCGTCTTTAACTTCCTGCTTGGAAAACCTCTCAGTGTTTGATGGAGGCTTGAATTTGTGACCATCTCGTGAACTCTTTTGAATCCAAGACCGTAGAGCGGTGAATCATCTTTTTCTATATGCTTCTTGCAAAACTCCACTAGTTTCTCCTCAAACATAGGTTCATTTGTTGTGTTAACCCGCATGTGAGAAGAAGAAGACGCCGATGATGAGGCCGCAGCACCATTGGTAGAAGCGTAAGTCTGACTCTCCAGCCACATATGCGCCACCACTTGGCATAGTCCTTCTTCAACCTCAGGCTCAAGGTCCCTATACCCTGTTTCAAAGCAGAGAAATTGACAAAAAAAAATGATTGATTATCTCCAGATACCTCAAGGTTTCATGGTGACCATCATTGAGGCATCATGTGTTTTGATAATTTTTCCTAATACGAGAAGAGAGACGGTTTCCAAAAGGACTATGTACCGTTGATTCTAAGCTATGCGTGCATCATTTCATGGGCCAAGATTGATCCTGTTACTAACCTGTGTGTATAAGGATAGATTTGGTTGAGTACATGCACGCAACTAATATATGAAGGGGCATGGTAACGAAGTATGGTACCTAGGAAGTCCATACAAGATCATAACTGAAATGATCTTGGATTTACCGACGGTCCGTACAGTTTCTATTTCTTCAATTAACATATTGTTTGACTGCATCTTCGGCCTCCTTAAGACCTAGATAGACCAGAGTAATGTCATGAATCCAAGCAAGTTTATATCATCAAAGTGTTATGCTGTATATAAATATAATAACAAGACTCTCTTACACTCGTTATGATCACCTCTTCGGAAAAGCAACAACCCCTGGTTGACACCTCATGATGATGGCCCTGCATATATTGAGAAACACACGGTGAGACACTGAGACTTACTTAACCTGCAAGGACGAAAAGATTAAGGGTATATACGTACAATCTTATCTTCCTCCTCAGCTGTATTCAGCGCTTGTTTCTCAACCAAAACAAGAGGAAACTGTTTCTCAATCTCCATGTTTAAGCCTTTAAAGAATTCACGGATTTCATAATGCAGAGGTTGGCATTCATAAGTATCCATAATTGAAGACTCATTACATTCTAAACATATCCACCGACCATCACCAAGCATCACATAGTTCGTTTCTTTAGGCTGCACGTATTAGCAAGACACAAGAAAACTTTTATAGTATTCATAGTACGTGATATTTTCTTGTTATAAAAAGAAATTTACCTCTAATCTTTCACAGCTGCAACACTTGGGAGTACCATCAATATCATGACAAGCGCAATATTTTTCCAACCAGAAGGGATGCTCATTGAACTCTATACGTTGAGCAGTTGAAATAATCTGGGAGACAATACAAGAATGAAAATGTCATAACAGACCAATTCCTTAACTAATCTCTTCCTAAATACACTCTCATGTCGTAGAACAGAATGAGCATTTACAATATCTTTGCAGACATAGCAGTAATCCATGTAATAGGATTTGTGAAGCTTGCCTCTTGAGTTTGATACCTAAGGAGTTATCAAGAATTAATGTTTTTCATCAAAAAAAAAAAGCATGCCAAGGAGTAAACAGAGTTATCTTGTACATGGATTTCAACTTCGTCGATAGAAGAAATTGGTTCAAGTCTTCCATGTTCAGTCACAGAGTTGCAACCATGACATATGCTACAGGTTCAAGTTGCATTGTTCTTAATCAGATAACTTAACAAGAAAAAAAAACATTTCGAAGTTGGAGAATAAGCTTATTAATTAGTTACCACGGAGGAAAGTTGGTTGCAAATTCCTTCAATAGGTCTATATTCATAGTCACGCTTGCCACTGACTGCATCGATTGCAACTGATTTCGATGTTGAATGAGTTGTAATTCGATTTGACAAAACTTAAGAAATTCTTGATTGATTTCTTTGATTTCTCTTGTATATAAAGCTTTCTTGGAGATACTATACCACTTAACCCCTGAACACTTGCTTACCATCTTCTCAGCTCTTTCCAACGTCTTGATCAAAACAATTAGTTCACCGTTGCATCTTTGTTGCATTGAGTCAATTTCTTTGAATATCGGAACCAATCTCTCCATCGTGGACGCAAGATCTTGAGATAAGGGTTTGAAGTCTTTCACTTTCTTGGCCTCTTCGATTACCAATTTTAAAATCTCAGAAACTGGAGCTCCTAGAAAAGCACCACCAACCATAGAAGCCACATCTGATATCGACATGATGTGGCCTTTAATCTTCCTCCTGTATCTTCAAGATCTCACAAATTCTAAAGTAACGCAGAAGAAGATGAATTTAGCTAAAAATAGAAACGGAGAAACGCTTAAGAATTACTTACCCAAATTAACTGTTTGCTTGCTTTTGACGCACTCGTGAGTCATTTTGTGTTCTATTTCGTTGAAGTTGCGTCCTGCTTTCATCGTTTCAACAACTTATTGCATAAGTAAGTAATAAGAACAATCCACGTGGTTTCTTCGTCAAACACAGTCCATGAGATGGTAAGAGCATCTCCAATGGGAGAGAGCCTCCTATGGGTTCTCTCCATTGTTTAATATAAATTTTGTAAAATTTAAAGTTGAAAATATTTTTAAGAGTTCTTAAATTTTTCTTCCTCCAATGGTAGGGTTCTCTTAAGAATAAATCATTTAAATTTTTGAAAAACAAGAAGTGTCGTGTATTTGTAAAACAAGAAGAAGTGTTGTTTGTGTTTTTGTAAAACAAGAAAAATGTTGTGTCTTTGTAAAACAAGAAGTATTGTTTGTGTCTTTGTAAAACAAACCCAAAAACAGAGCAATCTCAGAAAGATGAAGCTGTTCTCTTCACCATGCAACTAACCAGCGCCTCCGTTCTTCAGATGGCTTTAAAAGCAAGTATTTTCTTACATCAATGACTCTGCAGAGTTTAAAAGAAATTTACACTAGTTCATAAACCGTTTGGCTTGCCACATAAGGAAGAATAAGTGTTGTGTTTTGACCACATCTTCTGTTAGTATCACCAAGCCAAAATAAGGATCTCAAGCACCGGTAACTACATTTATCATGTAAATAACACTAAAACTTGCTTCTTATTTTTTCAAACTAATTCATCCTGCAGAAAGATAACTATATATATAATGAACATATCCAATTCCAAACCAATCCTCCTAAAATCTAATCCTACACGACACAAGAACACCCTTCACCACTAAAAACCAAGACAGAGCTCGATTCTTACATGCTAAGTTCATGTAACACCACTAAATCTTGTATGCATATTATTCACTAAATCTTATATGCATAGAACTTGGTAAATCTTATATGCTAAGTTCATGTAACACCACTAAATCAATAAGTTCACTCTCTCACAATGCTAACTTCTTCCTCCACGCTGCCGCAACAACATTCAATTTCTCTTTCTATTTGATTCCTCTTTTATTGCCACTATTGGTGTTCAGCCAAGCTAATCTCAAGCTTACCTCTAACCTTGATGCTGCTCTGCTTCTTTTTCCCCGGATTTACTCAGCTAACAATCAATGCTATAACAAACAATCAAGCAAGATTTACCTTCATTGATGACAGAAGCCTCCTCCTTTTGATTAACGGCTTGATTCATACATGGAGCAAGAAATTGAAGCTTCCTTGATCGATTTCTCGCCGAATCGGATTAGCAAATCTCCGATTAGGTTTATATTCGTTCGACGATGTAAGTCTTATACCACGATAACACACGACAGCGTTGATTACCGGAAAACCACAAATCGCCGGTTGCGTCGAGAGAGAGAGAGAGAGTCGTGCGTTTAGCGGAAGAAAAAAAAATAAAAGTCAATTTGTTTTTTTGCTTTATTAAAATCAAACGTCCAATCATATGTCGACATGTGTCCGGCTCTCTCACAATCTCAAAACTCTCTTGAAAGAGCCGATTCTCTTGATTTTATTCAGTTTATATTTATTTTTAATCAACTAATTCAAGAGAACTCTGCAAATTTTGGAAGAGAACCCCTTATTGGAAATGCTCTAAGTTCTACGGTTCTACCTGATTAACATGTCACATCATCGCATGTTTCCTATTTCATTTCTTGTACTTAATTTTTTTATTTAATAATTATTCTTTTATATAATAATAAGGGATCATGTTTGTTTGTTTGTATAATCAAATTGTTTTTCCTATACAATATTGATAAAACCTCAAAAAGACAGATGATCATTTAAGTATATGTTGGCTATATTTTGAATAATTATAATTTTAACATTTTCAAAAATATTGGTTAAATTACAAACTTTATTTATAGATATATGACAAATTGACAACTTAACACAACATGTAGCGAAAAATTATGATTGTGTTATGAATAATAGATGGATGTCCATTACAGGGTACATCTTTTAGAAGTTTCTAGAATTATTTGTATTTGAAATTTTACTTTATCAAGTAAAACTTTTATTTTGTATTATTATATAAAGGATCTTTATTTATTGGAATAACTAGACCCTGACCCGCACGTACGTGCGGGATTTCATATTTTAAGATATGTGTTGTATAACATATATGTAGTCAATACGTTTGTTTTTATGTGGTATGTAACAAAACAATTTTTTTTTTCTCTTGGAGATCAGATAATAGAATAGATGCCGTAATATTAAATACTTAAATGTATTATCAAATTTTCTGTGTTTTAAATAAAATTTGGTACAAAACTTTGTTTTATGTTTGATTGGTTTTAAATTTTGAATAGAAAGATAAATAAGAATTTAGTAATTTTGTTTTGGTGAATAATTGGATAGTTTTGTTTGGTTTTGGTGAATTATTTGGAAAGTTTCAGAATTGGTGTGACATATTTGTAATATTGAATATTGTTTATGATTTTTTATAGAATATTATAGATTTTAAAAATGTAAAATAATTAATTTGGTAATGCAAAATTATTGTTTGATAGTTGATACATTGGTAATTAGGATATACGTTTGACCCAAATCAAAATATAGTGGCCCATGACTGAATCCAGATTTTTTTTATTTTGGGCCGAAATACATTGAAACCTAGATAATAATACTCTTTAGTCTTTACATCGATTCATCTCTTCGTTTCTTTTATTTTATTAAATATATTACTGATGTTTTTTTTTTCTTTTGGACAGCTCAATGTCGAGACAACATTGTCTTATCGGTGAGAGATTAACCAAACCCTAAAAAGCTCAAACGATTGTTCGATCTAAGAATTCGATCTAAAATACTCTATCAAGCTTTTTCGTTTCTGTTTATCAAATTTCCATCGCAGATTCGGAATTCTAGAAAGAGGTGAGGTTTTTATTGATTCAGATTTAGAGAACTATTTTTTTTGTAAATTTGTCGATTCGATTTTCAATCTTTGAAATTCTCTTTTGGAACAGAGACTTTGGGCGATGACTTTGAAGAACCCGAACTTGCATGAGTAAGTATTGCCAATTATATAATGAAATTTTGATTTCAATAATTTTTATAAACAAATCCCAAATTGATTTACTGTATTTTTGGAATTTAACGGAGTAAATCAATCTATCAACATAAATCTTTCAAAGCTATGAGTTAATAGATTTCAAAATTGGCTTGTTTAAAGATTTTAACAATAGATTTTGTTTCCTGAAACGTGTAAACATTTTAGTTGTTTCTAAATTGATTTCAGATAATAACATAGATGATGATGTTGCCAAAAGAAGACGATTTACAAAGAAAGTTTCTCATACGATTAATATCTAACAAAATATGTTTTCAAATACATGGTGCTGATGAGACAAAGTTCAATATATACATGGGAAGCATAATTTTCGAGTTTAATTCTTCTGGAGGAGGCAAAGTTTATGTCGTTTATCAGCCTTACCAAAATCTCGCAGCAACAATCAGGTTAGTGAGGTGTTAAGAATTCAACTTTTGTTTAGTCCACAATAATATTTAGCTATTGTTACTCTTTTTGACACCAATTCTGAAACTTTCCAAATAATTCAGCCCAATTCTGAAACTTTCCTTGTTTGGTCATTGTATGATTTCAGATTTTACTAAATTTTCCTTTTTGTTTGTTCAATATATACAGGATAAGCATCAGTTCCCAGTTTATTTATTATGGATGAGGCAGATTTGATGTTGCCTTTTTAGCAATTCAGAAATATGGAAGCTTTATTAAAGGTTAGTGAGATGATAAATCTAAGATCTCTCTTTACTCCATAGAATATGATGCTTATGTTATCGATTTTTGAATCAATAGAATTGTTATATAAAACATTTAGTTGTCATTGTATGTTGAAATTTTTATATTTTATGAGAGATTAAAAATACTTTAATTTCTAGTATTGTTTAGTAAGCCCTAAACGTAAAAACTGCTTTTGTATATGAATTAATTAACTTCAGTTCAAGAAATCTTAATAACAGAAAATTTAGATTCTACTACTGATTCTTTGAATTAGTAGAATTGAAATAGTTAACTTCATATTACTTAATATGATGTTTAAGTAACAGAAAACTTTTGGAAAACAAAGTTTAGTTGTTATAGGTAATAGATGTCTGCAAAGTAATGTAAAAAGAGAACATGAAAATAACAGAATAAGTTTGGAACAAATAATCTCTCGATGGAAAACTGATATCACTAACTCCATCACTTCCCAAATTACCATTTTCATAGCAGCTAGTACCTATTCACAGAATAAAATAGAAGAGATTATTATTGGAGCAGTTTATTATTGATGTCAGAAAAATCGGTGGATGCTAGCAGTGCTACCATTTTCTTAGAAGGAACTTTTGGAGAATAGCTAAAAGTTTTGAAAAGGTGAGTTTAATTGAATTCTTTAGCCTATATTTATAGTAATCCAAAGTCGCCTAGCATTTTCCTAGGGTTTAGAGAATTACTGCCAAAGAGGATAAATTCTAATAAGAATATTTAAGGTATATGCTTGATTTGTGGCGATTTTTTGTATAGCTATTATGATTTTTTGGGTAGAATTTTCAACTGAATATGAATTTGAAGAGATTTTGTTATTTTAAATAAAAACTAATAAATGTACTCGAATATCAATGAATTAGTTTTCTTCAATCTTTAGGTAATATTTGGGATTGATTTTGTATAGAATTATCCGTGAACTGATTTTTTAAAATTCGAATTTATAGTTTTAGTTGTTATGGAATGATTTTGAAGCAATTGAATCTAATTTTTTGAAACTTTAATTGCTAAAATATTCTCGATTAAGAATAGATAAGGAATATGCTATATTTGGTACTATATGAATATATAGATTTACTTATTTTTTGGTAAAATTCATAAATGAATATTTCAATAAACGGATTTTGTT